ATCTATTATATGTGGGAACTGTTCAGAAGAAGACCTCTGGACCAACATAATTGGATTATTGTTTATTCGCTGACCTGGGCCAACGACGAACTATTTTAAAGAGAACAATTGTTGGTGAGTCTGTTCCACCTGATCTCTTTATTTTTGTATACCGAACCTAGCGTAAGTATTTTTATTTCTTTGCCACACACTCCTGGTAAACTAACTTATTGTGTATCCAGACCACCTCACCCGACGCACACCACTAACATGTGTCTAGGGGTACACCTTGCCTATCTAATCCATCCATCGTTAACGGATAAAAGGCTCAAAATGTTCGTCTTCAAATTTTGAGATATATTGGTCGTTTTGAAGGTTACAAATGTCCTACTGTGAGGCGAATTTTCTTATTCGTGAGGAGCGTTCATTTGGCCGATTAAGTCCTGAAATGAAAGGAAGATATAATTCAGGTTATCGAAATATCACCATAAGGCGCGCGGCTTCCACCTGCGCACATCTGGTGATCCAGAGGCTGCTGCGGTGGGGTGTGCAGGGTTTGGTATTGTGCTAAGTCAGCGGACGGAAGTATCCTTACTCGACTGCATACCTGTTGATAGTCGCCTCTGTGCGGATCGTCTGGCAAGGTCCGTGAAGGGGACTCACAAGCGGAAACTTGATAGATGTCTGTTTATCGTATGTGCCTGTGCCCCGATTGACTGTAGCTCCGACGCCATCATGGGAAGGCTTTACGACGCCCTGAATGCCCTGCTGTGACGAGCTAAAATCTCAGACATTGTGGTGGTTACCGGAGATATGAATGCGCAAGTGGGCAGGCTTCCTGCATCTCAAACTCAGTTAGGAGGTCGACATGGACTGGACTCAGTACGTACGGACAATGGGGAACGATTGCTTCGGCTCTGTGCTGATCGCAGGCTGCTTTTATGCAGTACTAACTTCCGAAATAGCCGAAGTCGTCTGGCCACTTGGTGTCCTTAAGCGGCAGGCCGGTCACAAATTCAAATCGATCACACTGCCATCAGTTACCCGTGGCGCGGATCCATAACTGACTGCCGGTCGTTTTGGAACACATTTGTGGACTCTGACCACGCGCTTGTCCGGAGTCGCTTTTCCATACGTTTTCTGTGCCGCGTAAGATGCGGGCAAGTTGCATGGCAACTAAAAGGCTGGCAGATCCTGATGTCAGACGAACTTACAAGAATCATCTTCTAGAGTCTCTTTCAAGTGCTCCAATATCAGATGTGAACTCATACTGGGACGAGATTGCCACCTCTTTGCATGGTGTTGGGAATTTTACCTGTGGCACGACCCAACCGGGCGCACCAAAGCACTGGATATCAGAACGAACGGTGGCGCTACTTAAGCCTCGAAGAAATATCCCACCCAGTCCCGAACATGACCCGGTGCGGAGAGCTATCAGCCGTCAAGTGGAAGTGAGCTTGCGATCCGACCGTGAAGTATGGTGGACACAGAAAGCCAAAGAAATGGAAGAGGCCCAGAAAGCCGGTAATGCCCGGAGATTATTTCAGTTAATCCGTGCGACCGGTCCCCGGAAACCACCTGTGAGTGAAAGCATCAAGCATCAGAATGGAACGACCATCTCTAATAAGGAGGAACGCCTTGACCGGTGGGCTGAATACTTTGAACAACAAATGTCTTGCCCACCGGCCGACACTCATCTAAAGCCCACAGGTGAAGTAGAACCCTGGACGGTGAACGTGGAACCACCTACGGCCTCAGAGGTTTACGACTGCATATGTTCTCTCAAGCGCCACCGAGCTCCCGGTCCGGACGACCTTCCACCCGCACTGTTCAAAGACGGTGGTGAAGTCCTCAGT